TCCAGTTGCACTACATCTTTTCTTTGATTTAGAGGGCAGAAGTGTGCACAGTACTCAAGGTGCGGCTATTCCAGAAAATGCTACAACAGTACAAAGATACAATATCCTCTGCTTTGCTCTCTGTTCCTCTTCTGGTGATTCCTGACATTCACATTATTTTCCTTTTAGTGCTTCTGAGCACTGAACAAATGATTTGTTTAGTTATTTATTTATTGTTTTCAGATGCAGGAGGATTTTTTCATTAGGATCAACCTGGAGGGTGCAGTAAAGGTGGAGGATGGTGACGAGACAGTTCTGAAGACTGAGTCAGGGACCAGGGGCAGGAGGACAGGCAGTGAAACTGAAAACTATGGTCAAAAGAAAGTGAAAAAACGAGGAGGCTGAAGTTTATTTTCATTTAGTGACATCCAAAACACTCAAAGCTTGGAGAGCCCAAGATGTGAATGTCATAAAGGTCATGGCAAGAGCACCGTTGCAGGTCAGGCAAATGGAGATCTCGTTTATCACCAAAAGGGTGGCTTGATTTGCCACCACCCATTACGAGCCAGAAGTCCAAGTCCACGTGCCTCTATAGGTGGTGAAGTTCCCATTAGTTGCTAGTCCCGTGCACTCACTGTGTGTGCGCAGTGTTAACTGCTGAAGGACCTTGGAGCTGCATCAGAGCAGCTCTGATCCTTTTTTACCTGGGCGGGGGCGGATTTCAACAGAAAATTTCATATCAGATGTGTGCATGTGTTTGTGTGTATGCGTGCACATATGCCGGAGGTGTAAAAGGACAGTATCATAGAGAACAGCAGCATAGGATAATCATTATCAAGATAATACTAATAAGATTAATATTTAATTACTATACATTGAAAAATGGGGAAAAATAGGTCATTACCTTGTAAAGGACTTTGTAACTTTCTCCTATGTGCTTTTTATTTTTGCTTTCAGCCCAAGCTATCCCTTGTCCATCTCTGCGAGTTTGGGGATAACCAGCGAGGGTTACTGCATAAACACATCAATGCCTGAAAAGGTAACGCTTTTAAGAGTCAGTAATTAACAAGTACATCTATGATTTTAGTGAGGTTTATGAAGCTCTGTCAGAGAGAGACCCCGCTGTTCCTGGGATGGGAGCTGCCATGATCCATGCTGATTTCCAGCTTCCACACAGAGGAAAGCGACTCCAAATGCACCAGCCGGAGCCTTCAGCACCCAGCTGGAGCAGAGCCCGGCGGCAAACGCAAGCCCTGCCGTGCCCTGGGAGCAGCCAGTGCAGGGGCCAGGCGCCTCGGGTTAGTCCACGTGAATGCGAATGGAAACTAGGGCTGAACTGACCAAACCTCAGACAGTCCAGCAGTAATTTAGGGGCATATTGAGCTGTCAGGTGTGAAATGTGGCATTTCTGTTAAGGGGATAACCACAAGTCAGTGGGGCAGTGGGGCTGTCTTCTGTTTCCTGCAGATGGCCTGTGCAGAGATTGACAGCTTGGAGTCTATATGAGTAGGATGCACAGAGCATTAATTTTGCTTGTGCTGTAATTAAACTTGTGATACAACTCAAAACAATTTCTTTTTTTTTTTTCATGGAATTAGATAACTTCTGTAATGTTTTCATCATGTTGATTGTCACTCTAGGCAAAAATCCATCTCCGTGATTAGCTGGACTTCTCCACTTCACATGATTATGCTCCAAGAACACTTATGTTTCCCTAGGAAGATGATACAGTTTTATTCCTTTCCTTCACAAATTTTTCACCTAAGTAAAATAGCACGTTTGCCACAAGCTTCTGCTTTAGGAGAAGCAAATCTATATCTCCAAATTGCAATATTTCTGTCCCAATACTTTTAGCTGGTTTAAAAAATACACCACAGAGACTTTCTAAGTTGATACTAATTCTCCTATTGAACTGAAAATACATGTGCTGGCAGATCTACTGAGAGATCAGCAGCTCCTTCAGATAACTAAACTGTTTTCCTCAAAACCCCAAAGAAAAGTAGATCACTGAAAACAAATTTTGAAATTCACGTTATTCAAGAGCCTCCTCAAGGGGATGCTTGTCTCTTGGGAAGGCCAGGAGTATTAGCAGGGATGGCAGGATGAGAGATTGAAAGCTGATGCAGAAGGGAAGAGCAGCACTACGATCTGCTATGACAAACCTAGAGTGGAAAGAGGAGTCGAGTCATTGTCTTGCTCTTTCCCACCCGCACCCAACCTGCTCCTTCGCTCCAGTGTGCCCTGGCTGCCTTCCCACATCATGGGAAACAAGCTCAAGGCTCCCTGATCAGAAAGAGGCAAGAAGAATTTTTCACCCTCCACATACTGTCTTGATTAATGGGAAAAGCTGAATTGTAAAAAAGAAAAAAAAATAATTAATGGGTAGTTCATATACTCATTTGTTGGTTTTTAGTAACAAAATCCACGTAGGAGTGAAGGATGAACACTACCCATAAAATATAAGACCAAGATGTCATATTAGGAAATGAAGTGTTACTCCAGAGTTCAATCAGTGCAAATTGCTCAGAGCTCCTTTCTTCTTTTCCAGAACATTGAAAGGTTTGAGCTCCTGTAAACAGGATGTACGCCCCTCCTTTTAGTTAAGTTTTGTCTATTTTCAGGAGTGCCCCAACACTTCAGTAATATACACACAGTTATTTTATACCTACAGCTGCCAGTGAAAGGTTTATAAAGACACCACACACATACATTATGCTAAAATAAAAACATAAAAATTAAACTTTCTGTTCTTTTGTTTGGTAAAGACAAAATGGGGTAAGCATAACTTGACTTTTAACAATCATGAAATATAGAATACTATTTCCTCAGATAACCCAAGCATACTGTAATACAGCAATTTATGTGCCTGTATGTTGCTATCATATCTGTAAAGATTCTGTGTAAAATCAGTCACAGTTAAAATTCAGGCTTTAGACCATCTGTGGTTTTTCTCCCTTTTGAAGTTAAGATATTGCTTAGGTCAGGAACAAATTACATTGTTAGCTGTTTTGGTCCTTCAGCTGGGTTGTCACTCTTAAGAAGTAATGGACCTTGGATAAGGGTGAAAAGTTGTTTATTTAAGGAAGTCTAATATTAAAAGGATTAAGAAAGTATGATGCAAAAATAAGCAAAGGTTACATTTCATGGGAAAAATATTAACCACACAATAAATGCCACAAAAATAGGTCTAGTGAACTAAAAAGAAATGAGAAGTGGATGCTAAAAGACATTGCAACCTTTTGACAAAGTACCAGTCAACATTTAACCCCACTAGGCATAGGAGGCGAATAGGGCAGCTTGCAAGGCAAAATACTTATTCCCACTAAACCACATGACAAGAATGAAATTGTTTAAGTGGATAATCTACAACAATATTAACACCTAAAGCATTTGAAGTTATGAGGTGAAATGAAGGCAAAGCTATAGAAAAGATATGCAAAAAAATTACGTTATTAAAACCAAATGTGCCAGATGAGAAGGGGAGAATAATTCTTTCAGCAGTCGTGAAGAGAACAAAAGAGGTCCTTTGAATCTAGGCAAATAGAGGGAAAAACACACTAATTACTGCCAGGGAAAATGTCTATGATATTAAAGAGTGAGAGAAGTAATAGGCAGGGAATAGTACACTTTGTAGTTATGCAGAAGCTTTACTGAGATTTCTGTTGTATTCTATTCATGCTGTAACCAGTAAATGGGGGGAAAAAAAAGGGCTGAATATAAATTTTTCTTTCTCAAACAGTAAGTGAACTGATAAATAGTGTGCAAAGGCACGGTGATTCTAATACAAACTGAGGAGCTTCACCTGTACCAATAGCACCATAAAGGTTGATAAGCAAAGATAAGTGTGCCTTTGCTATTTCTGTAGAACTAAATTGGGTGATATTAATAAAGGCTGATAAAAAAAACACTACAAAGCTGGCTATCTACACATGAAAATAGACTTATCAAAATAGTGGCCAAATATGAGCTGAATAACATACATACTAGAAGTCTGTAGAATGTAGAGAAAAAAAAAAACAAACCCCAAACACCCCCCCTCCAAAGCCCCAAAGAGAGAAAATTATTTCAAGAAAAACGGATGAAAAAGGACAAACAATGAAACAAAAATGTGACAGCTCAAAGGGAAACGGCTGTGAAATTACCAGGCAAAAACTTTTCATCATCACGAAGCATTACAGGAGTAAGGACCCATTAGGAAGCAGGGAAAAGATGGGGGGGGGGCAGAAGCAAATGACATACCTGACCAACCAAACACGAAAAATAAAACCTCTGTATTTCACACAGACATAATTAATCAGGGAAAAACGCCTGACAAGAAAGAGATGGTGAATAGGGACTGTTTGGAATAGCATTTATTTTACGATCGATCTTTCAAGAACAAAGTAACAATACCCTCAAATGTATTTCACGGTAAATTTAAATACTAAGTCATACGGAGAAATTGAAACAGCGTGTGTGCACTCGCAGGGTTTGAGGGCTTTCTACACGGGTCGTGTCCCCGGGAGACACCGCAGCAGGCCCCGTACCTCGGACTCGTGATGCCGACAATCCCCCACCAAACCCGACCTCTCCCGAAACGATAAAGCTGCCAACTCGGCCTGCCGGAACCGTTCACGGCTCCAAAGCCATTCCTAAAAGGAAGGCTGCGCCCCGCGGAACGTCAACCAGAGCGACCTCGCCCGAGTGGAAAACACCGACTGACCAGAACGCCGCGACCTCCGGGTCCCCCCCCGCCCGGGGGCTCTTTGTGGGAGCGCCGCGAAATGGCGGCGGCGCGGGCGGGGCGGGCCGCTGTGCGGCCCAGGGGGGGGGTGGGGGAA